AGTGATTTTCCAGACCTTTTAAGGTTCTTAAACATTTAAACATCTGCACACTTCACCCCGGATAATTTTTTTTCACCCTGCTTGTTGCTTTTAGAACCCAGGATCAGACTTACATAAATGTTAGGTACTTAAGGAAGCAGCTAAGTCTCTTGTAGGAGTTTTAAGAGTACCTAAGGAAGTCAAGTTTAACGCCCATTAAAATCAGTCTGTCCCCATACTCTGTATCTCAAATTATTCCTGCCAGAAAACATTTATTTGCTATTGCTATCCTGATTCTTATCCACCTACCTGTGTCAGGTTGCTCTGAAATTTCACACAGCCTTCTCTAGTTCTGACACAATTACAATTATCAGGACAATGTGTGCCAAGTAATGAAACTGTCTGCTTTCTTATGGATCAGAGAACTAAACCAGGTGAGGAGTTACTGCAGAAAGTTGTTCATATAGACTGGTGGTTCTTGAACTTTTTATATTCAAGATACCCCTAATTTGGCTCAAGGCACCCCTTGTTAGATTTGGGGCACTGCTTGGAAAATGACAGCTCTTACTTTTCACTTATTTTATAACTACAGAAAGGTACTAGAGCAAATCTTCTGTTGCAGAAAACTCAGAAAGATCAGAACAGGTCAGAATGTTTTTAACGCTATGCCTTTCTATTTGAAATCTCTGGGCTTGTCATGTGAATCATGTGTATACACTTAGTGTTAATATTATAACACCCTATGGCACCCTTGCAAGGATTTCAAGACATATCAGGGTGCTGCGGCACCCTGGTTGAGAATCACCATAATAGAATCAAAGGACCATGTCATCAGCAGTTTTTATTTTATAAATCAGTTGTGACTTCCAGAATTGAACTTTATCCACAGTAATTGAGAGGAGTAACTGCTGAGGCTTTGAAAGAAATCCTAAATTTTGTTCCACGTGTAGCTTTTTCACATACAGTAGGCATCTCTGCACATGCATTTATGGCATCTTAAATTCTCTGCACAGTAAATTACTGTGCAATAAGCAGGAATAGGCTGGCATCTACACATGCAGGTATTAAAGTGCATTAACACTGTGTGTGGACTGACTTGGGACAAAAGATAGCCCCAAGTCAGTCCACACACACAGTGTTACTGTGCAGTGAGGTGTCTATGTGTGTTACTGTGCAGTAATTAATTGGGTGTAAATTTGATACCTGCATGATGCAGGTATCAAATTTACACTCAAGTCAGCATAAGTCACCATATTTACTGCACAGCACAAGGGTGCACATGTAGATGTGTGCCCGTACTGCGCAGTAAATGGGCACATGTCGACATACCCAGTAGGTGATGTTATAGTTACAGTGCAGCAGTCTTTGAAAAAGATTGCCAAGAAGTTTGGATTACAGTAAGGGTGCCAGGTACATCCTAAATCACAAGGAATTCTTAAAGGACTCATTAACATTTGTTCCTGGAAACAATGAACAGCTCACAAACAGATGATGATTATTTTAGGTCAGTAGGAAGTAGATCATTATTGCAGAAACTAATTCCTGTTTTCACGTAGAAAGCTCAGTTCTGTTTTCCTTTACACCCCATCAGCTTCAGGGAATTTGTAAAACATGTAAGCGACAGCAGATTTGGGCCCGTTACTGATACCAGCCCTGTATATTATACTTCTCATTTTAATCATAGAGTGCCAAGTGCTATAGTTAATCTTGAAAAGTTCCATGAGAAACTGTGAATAGAATTTTTTAGATTTAGACAAACCAGTGGATCTTTAAGGAGAACTCATGGCTGAAGATATAACTATATTCATGCTAAAAAGTCTTTCAAATATCATTACTCTGCCACTACAGCTCCCCCTACTGTAGAAGAAAAACAAACTTGGGGAAGCTTCAAGGAACAGACATTTAAAGATTTTCTTAAAGTCCTCACTAAGCGAGAATCCATACTTTTATTCACATATAAGAGCCTAGGTTGCATACAGACATTTGGGGGTGTTAGGGGGAACTTAGATCAAGTTAAAAATGGCCACCCAATCTAAGGGTTGGGGGGTAGGTGGCTAGCCAGAAATGGAGGGTGAGGAGATTGGGGAACAACTTACTGTTTTAATTTGCATTGTGGAGACCACTGCAGCCTTTCTTTGTCCCCCAGGTCAGAGAGGAATAGAGGGTTTATAGGCACCTGTACAAGTCATCTAGCCTAATTTCTATGGGTTTTAAGGAGAAAACCTGCAATTTTCAGTGGCAAGGCCATTGTCCATTTACTTTACACCATCTTATTACCTTTTCACTCTTTCTGCTACTCATATCCTTCCATCTGACAAAGCAGGCAGTCACCCGAGAAAGCTCATGATTCTGGACCAGTTAGTCTCCACATTGCAACCCTGCCCTGCCTTCTGCCAGACTTCAGACTAACATGGCTAACTGCCTCTTTTTACTCTTCCATCTGTAATTTCCACCACCTTGTGCCAACACATGGTATCTGGGACTTGATTGCTTCTGCTTTCTGCCACCTGTGCTGAGCAACTGAAATACTATCGCATCACAATTTTGACATTGCAAACCCACTTTGTAGATGTGTAAAGCTCTGTCCCTGAACTGAGCTGAACTGTGCACAATCACAGTCCCTGAACTGTGCACTATCACAGTCACACTCAGCACAGTCAGTGGCAAAGGTCTGTTCCTAAACAGTAACTCAAAGTATAAAGCGGGCAAATGTAAGGTCTGCAGTGGACAACTACATCAGCAGTGTAACTGGTAACATTTGCACCCTGAGCAGAACACTTATACCTAGGGTGCTGGAATGGAGGCAGGGGCTTGAGCAAGGGGCAGATCCATGGGCAGTGGGGGGTTGCACTGATGCATTTGCACCTCCCTTTGATTCCTGCTCCACCCAAAATTTAAAACCAGCTGCCTGCAAGTGGCAGCAGCATTTCTAGTTAGGCATTCTGAGGAAGTCATTTGATTTCATGGCTCATTATCATCTCCCTGATTCCTTCTTCATTCCACAGGTGTTGGCTTCCTTTTTACTGGTCTCAGTTTTCCACCAACCAGACTAACCTTTATTCTGCAGTTCTGCTGTTAGCTGCTTCTAGTAATGAAGCTCCTATTTCACAGCCCTACAGCTTATTTTTAACTCATTCCAATGAAATTATATTTGTTTTTGCATCAGTTCAGGAGCACACACCAACTGCAGATGCTTCCTCAGGCTGACGAAGAGTATTTATACCTGAAAGCTTGCTAAGGAGAATTTGTCCAACTATTTGAGTTGGTCTAATAAAAGATATCAGATTGAACCAAAGAACCTTGTCTGCCTATGTCCTTAGACTAACATGGCTACAAACCTATACCCTAGGACCCTAGCATATTATTGAAGTTTCTAGTTTATTTTTAACTGGAGAAAAATATGTGTTATTTCATATGTGATAATGCACCTGATTATCTGTAACCCCTTTTCAAAATTCTAGATGCATTTATGGGCTTGAGGGTCTGGACATGTGGAAAGGAGCAAGGGCAGAGTGCTGCTGTGAAGAGGGACATGGCCAACAGCCAAGTTAACTGTCCGATGACCCTACAGCCACCATGGATTTATGTGCTGAACAATGGTGCAAAATCCCATTAATTAATCTGTAGTGCTGCTGCAGGGGTAGGAGAGAGTTGGGCTGGGAAGGGAGGGTGAGCCTGAGGAGGAGACTCCTACCCCTGCTTCACTTCATGTAGTCAGAGCTTTGAGGCCCCCCCTGCCTCCATTCCAGCACCCTGTTACTAAGCCTGCAGGGTTTGTGCCTCAGCTGCCCACCCTTAATTATGCTACTAAGTTCCACTACCATTTACTGTGTCCAAGAGGAGAAGAGAAATGGTTCTGATGATTCCAGTAAAAGATGAGCTCTGGGCCCCATCTGCTCATTTGGTCTTATTTTTAAAAAGGCAGACAAGTTTTATTATTTCAAAGTGAAAATGAAGCATCACTAAGACTATACAAGTTACCCATAAAGACAACAAAGGTAGATAGACCTGAAGGGAGAGAACCCTTAATTTCAGCAAAATGAATAACCCTTCAGTGAAAGGACCTGCAGACGAAGCTTGTATATTTGACTTTGAGAATATGCAAAGAAGTCAGTTGTTCCTGGTAGAAATCTAGGCTGGCAATATACAGGAGTTACTTTGATTTAATAAATCCACAGATTTAAAACCAGGGACATTTACTACATATGTTGAGGAGATGAAAGGAGAGGGACTCTGCTGCAAAGGGCAGTGCAAATTTTCAAGCAATTCAGAAAAGATTATAGTATTTTGAACATAAATTTAAAGGCCTGGAAAACTGATCATGATACAATCTTCCAGATAAGAAGCAGGTCTGTGGAAACTGAAGTGGGGCAAAGAAGATTGGATTTGTAACCTGCCTGATTACTGAAGAGATGATAGGAAAATGCCTTCCTACAAAGATAGGGAGTTGAGAGAATGTACAGGCTGTGTGTCACCAAGATGGGAATGATGAAATAAAGAAAATGTATTGGAATATGGTGGGAAGCCTTCATGAAGGTGAAGGCAAATTCACCTGGGAACAATATTGCCCCTTCCAAAATAAGTTTTGGAAACAATCAAAGAAGGATTTTTCCCTTGATTTGCAGTAGGCTTTGGATGAGGCCATTCAAAAGCTAAATAAATAACCTGAAAGAGAAAGGAGTAAAAACTGTTCCTCAAATTAGACTTGTTTCTTGTTTGATCAAGGCAAATTTATGCTATGCAGAATAATCCTTATGGATTTAGACTGCTTTTCTTGACTACAGAATGCCCTTGAACCAATACAAATTTTCTTTAAAATGTGTGTATGCCTGGCTATGTTCTTAGTTGGCATAAATCAAAGTAGCTCATTTGAAGCCAATTTCTAGCCTGTTTACATCACCTGGGAAGCCGGGTCTGGAATTTATTAATATTTGCATGGTAATTTAAGCCAGTTTCTGATTATGGGTTGCACAAAAACATTACCACATTCTTCTAGACACTCTCTCTGTTTTTTTTTCTAGGCTTCTGAAAAAAGAAGAAAACTTTATCTTTATCCCTCGGTCCCGTGAAGAGCTTCCAGATAACTTTCCAAAGGAAATTCCTGGGATCTGTTATTTCCTGGAGGTCAGAAGTGGTCAGAAGCAGCCAAAGCCTTCCATCACATCTGCCAGAGTGAGAAAGGTTTCTTACAACATTGGCACTATGTTCCTTCGAGAGACTAGCCTATGAGGCCTGCTGCAGATCAAAGACTCGTCAAAAAAGCACAAGCCCAGAACTGGGTCATGACAGGAGAGTTGGAGATTCTTTCTGTTTCACTGCCTTGTTCTGAACAAGCAGTAAAAGCTTGGTGTAATGTGAGGCAATAATTATTTTAAAAGGTGGGTGACTGCTGTCATTAAACAACCTGGAAAGAGGGAAAAAAAGAAACAAAATACTTCCATTTCCTGAGGAATTATTGGTCATAAATTTAAATCTGGCCCCTAACAAAAAACCACACACATACTCAAATCAATATAAATATTTGAGCTTGATTTTTTTCTCTACAGAAATAGATGGTGGTTCTCTGTAGATTTGCACCAGCTAAGCAGAATTGAGAGTCAGTTCTGATTATGCATTCCTACATTTAATGTGTTATTCAGTAAGGTAACAATGTTTTTTAACTTTATGAACAAACATTTCATACATATACTGTAGAGTTGCTGTAACCTTCCTGACAGGAGGAATTATAATTCAGTACAATATTGTAGGGATTTTACCTCTTTTTATACATATTTCACTTTCTGTACGATTACATTCTACACACTGTAAAATGAGTGAGCTTAGTCAGCTTTTCAGAATAATCTACTGTATATTTCATGTACTCTATCAGAGCGTATTGTTATACACATGGTAAGAAGTCATTTTTTGACTTTTGGCAACAATGATACCAATATTTTGCAAAAGAAGAAATAATACTTTGGTAAATCTCTTTCCCTGATATGTAAGTTTTAGATGAGCACTGTCTTGCATATATGAATGATGTTTGATCTTTGTCCTACTAGTGATGTGTGTCCAGTCTTTTCAGGACAATGAAAACCAAGGCTAAAAGATTAGTGTCTTGATTGATAGAAAAAGGACTCTTGCACACGATGGACCATATCTCATACCATCAGTTTTTAGATAGAAGTAACCAGTGGAGTCTTTTATTTAAAAACTGCTGGTATGTTGTAGCATATTAAAAAAAGCTCTCCAAAACACATTTGAAACACTATGGATGGGGTTTTTTATTCACTTTGAATAGGACTTATATTCATAAGCCACTTAAGACGTTTTGAAAATCCCATACATTATTACTGCTATTACTCTGGCAATTAAATCTGTTGCTGGAGTGGCTGAAATACCCTTACTTTATCTAGTGTCGAATAAACAAAAGACACTTTTTAGCCAGAAGAAAAGAAATAAAAAGGAAAAATTCTTACCTAAGCATAATTCAAATAGTTGTTCAAAATTCAGATTAATCAAGGTCTATCAAAATTAAAGACCAATTTTCATCTGGTGAAAATTGGCATCTCTTTATTTTCTTCAATGGATTTATGCTGGTTTGCAACTGATGAGGATCTGCTCTTAACAAGACCACAGCTTCAGATAGATTTTATTTCTCTGGTTTCACCCTTTTCCTTGGGTTTCCTTTTCTATCAGCAAAGACTGTAAAATTAATTATGCAAGTCCTTAACCCTGGGGGGAGGGGGGGTCCTACTCAGGCCACCATTGTTCTACTCTTATGGAAAAGAGTTTATTAGTAGATATTTTTCAGTGCTTCTGGACAAAGATCCAAAGCCTACTAAAATCAGAGAAAAGACTCAGTTTTACTGGGAGCTTGCTGAATGTTTTCCTCTTTTTAAAAATCTGATCAGTGATTTTAAAATCAGATCAGTTATTTGGGTGCTTATGTATGGACTTTAGGTCCTAACTGAAAGTTCCCATTATAACAAAAAAACAAAACAAAACAAAACATAAATATGGCCTTTTGGCCAAATTATCTTGTTAAATTTTTCCGGGAAGGACATGTAAAAACTGAAAACTGACTCCTTTGACCAACATGCTGTGGTAGGATGCAATGAGTCAGCATATTGTCACCCCTGGCTCTGCAGAACGTGTAGAGTCTGCAGTTTCTGGTAAGGATGGCTAGGTGAAGAAGAGCTAATTTTGTGAATTTTCTTTATGTGAGATGCACCTGATTTTGTTATGAGAGTCTCTTGCTGCCTTAGAAGAGAAGGGGCCTGGGAACTAGCACTAAGAATTGTTTAAATGTGAATGTCCCAGCCTTCTGTCAATACACTAAGCTTACTGGTTTCTCTCATGAATCTCAGAGCATTCTTAGGTTCAGAGATTCAGATGTCTGTCTTCCATCCACTGTGCTGGGAAGCAATTGCAAGCTTTTTGCCATTCTTCCCATTCAAAGATTAGCTTGGTGAAAACCCTTTCATTTAAGGCTGCAGAGTTTTCACACAAATTGCAGATACCCCATGGCTTTCTATATAGAAGTGGATACTTTAGCTTATAGTCATCAGTTTACATATATACAGTATGTAAAGTACATTTATTTTTCAGTGAAAATTAATGATGTATAGTAGAGCTCCAGACGAAGACATAGTCAAATTTACCTACCCCACCTCCAGTCTAGGACAGCTGAGGCTATGCTGTTGCTGCCTAATCCAAACAATTATAGCAGCCAGTAATATGTATGTATTGAATTTCTAACCTGTAAAGACATTACCGACATACCTTCACTCTACAGTAGTTTGATCTAAAGTTATCTTATCCCACTGGCCGCATCTACATGGATTGTTGACTGCACAGTAGCCCAAGACTACTGTGCAGTAGCGTCACATGGCAGCAACTGTGATACGATAATACTGCACAGTAGTCTCATGCAGTTGTTGCCATGTGACGCCACCGCGCAGTAGTCTGAGGCTACTGAGTAGTCAGCATTACAGAAAACCTGTGCATCAACACTACTCAGGTTACTGCGCAGTCATTTAGTACTTTTTTTTATACAGTATATGCTGTCTTGTGTATAAACGAGTACTAAATGATTGTGCCATAATGGCTATGCAGTCAGCATCTCGTGTAGATGCAACTACTATCTCCCTCATAATGCACAGTTTTTAGTTTATTTGATCATAGTATTTCTACGGAAAAGATATATGGGTAGGTAATCTTGGAGATCAGTGCAAAAACTAAGAATTGTTGCTAGCATCACCAAATAAATTAGCCAGCTCTCCAAATCAGTGCAGATTCACTGTACAAGAATATACAGGCTCCACTTTTAATTAAGCTTCCATAAAGTTGGCATGTCCAAAATATCAGTAGTTATGCAAAGTATGCATTGTTTATTTGTGCGATGGTGTGTAAATTTGATTTAAAACTACTGCTGTCCCTAGGAAAAATTCCCTGGCTCCATGTGAGAGAAAAGTATAAACATGTTTTCAACACTATTAAACTTATTATTTGTACCTGCTGTAATCGTACAAGTATATTGTTGACTCATTTATAAAGTGAAGGAAATTTTTTAGCCAGAGAAGTGATGTGAATACAGTAGGATTTTAGTAAGATATTAGATTTCTCCAATGATGGCTCCTGTTGGTAAAAGAAAAACCCTTCTCTATGAAGTTTGCATTCTATGTGTGAATGATTTTATCTGCAGGAGTTGACTTTGGGTTCCCAGACTGCATATGCAAGGAGTGGAAAAGAGTGTATTTCTGTGCAGTGATTAAATGAGCACAGAATTCAGATATTGGCTTTGAAACTTCCCTTCTACCTGTACAGTAAATGTTCTTTGCACGGACAGGGACTAAGAGTTGTATAACAATTACTTTGCTTAACTATAAGTAGCAGTATCTGCTGTCTTGAGCTTCCACAAAGACAAAATCCATCCTCCTTGAAGGTGCTGCATATTGAGAAATGTAAGGCAAAGGCTATATGGGCCATTAGAATACATATGACACAAACTGGTGCTATTGGCTTTCCCTCTGCTTCAGAACGGGTGACATTGGGGTAAAGACAATGAATTTACTATATGAGAGGAATCATCACAAAGGCTAAATAATCATGAGGCAGTTGAATTTTTCCTTCCATTTGAACCTCCCAATAGCTCATGCTCTTCAGTGAAATTATATGGAAAGGGTCCAAGAACTGGGCCATAAGGCAAGAAGAAAATAGTAGTAGAGAAAGTAGAATGTTTGCAAAAGTTAGATTCCCGGTCCCTTTAGTGATATCTGCTATGCATAGCCACAGGCTCTGACATCAGAGAATTACTGCTGTGTCAGTACTGGATCCAGATGTGCAGCCACATACATTCCCCAGGGGACAAGCAGCAGCAGCACACATATTGTGCCACTGCTGTATGTCCCTGGGGAATGCCTGCGCATGTGTGCTCTGCTGTGTGGCAGGTTGCTTTGGGGGGGTGGGGTAGGGGAGGTTGGGACCAGCACTTGGCCTGGCCCCAGCAGCCTTACCTGGGATCCTGGGGGCCTCCCAGTTCTCTAGCACTGGTGATCCGGCAGCAGGGAGCCTGGCCAGCAGCTGGAGCATGGCTCCAGCCAACCAGGCTCCGATTTTGGGTGGTTTACTCTACTGCCACATGTATCATCCCCCTCCCTGTCAAAAAAATCCCCCATGCTACAAATTATCAGCATAGGGAATGTTTGTGGCACTGCATACTACACATTCACACTCTTCTGGATGCACTCTAAGAGTGTGGTTGTCCTGCAGGAACCCACAACCTTCTGCCTTGTGTAGTTTCCTAGGAGTCTGCAGGCATTAATGATAGTGGCTATTCTGGGTTTACTGCTTGTTACCACATCCATTTTCAGAGCAGAGTGTTTGCTTGGAAAGGCATGCTGGAGGCTGGAAACAGGCTTTTCAAACAAAAAACAAAGTTTTTATAACCTATAAAATCTGCTGTGGGAATTGTCTGTTCAGAGGAAGATATCCAGTCCTACGGCAGTTAGTGTGTGTTTGTGATCTACAATTCTCCTGACACACCAAAACAGTTACTGTGTGTGTCCTGCAGTAACATTGTTTGTGCCTGAAACATGTCTCCATTTTTCAAAACATCCCTATGCTTTCTATGTGTGTAACACACATGCATGAGAATATATTAAGGGTGACATAAATCTATTCCCAAGTTACTTCATAGGGCAGACAGTACAGTATCATGAGGTCACATACACTTGAAAAGTTTTGTGGTGTCCCATTGGGACGCATTATGCTCTACTAACCAACTTCACTTTGTAGATTTCTTCCTCTGAACAGGTAATCCCCCTGGCAGAATTTTAAGATAGTAAAGCTATGTTGAACTACATACAAATATCAAATCTGTATAAGTTCTCAGTGCATGTATCACTGCTAAGCTGCTCTGAAATTCTTCCAATTCCGAACTGTCACATTTACTACATGCAGCCAGGCTTGCTGCTAGTCCTAAATATTCTCATTGTTCCGGTTGTGTTGCTGTTGTCCTAGACTTCTGCAGCTATTTCATTCTTGAAATAGAAAAGAGGGAGAAGTTTTCTATTGATTAGCCATAAAACAGATAATATAAAAAGATAAATTCCCTTGAGATACACTAAGAGTAGGTACAGACATTCTAAAAGCCCAAGGTGGAATCACTGAAAGTTACATGGTTTTCTGTAAGCAGCATAGTTTAGATTGAGCACAGACAGAAGTGCAGGTCCCTGCTGTAACTAAGAGCACTTTGTAGGAAGTGTCCTGAGTTACAGTGATCTTCTGGAACAAACAGAAGTTCACTGTTGGTTCCAGGGGGAAGAGGAATCTAGCTGCTGGCTGGGAGCCTGCAGCTGGTTTCCCCTAGCAATGGCTCCTCCTCTCTCCTCATTGCATGAGGGGTCAGATGAAGATATTTTAAAACATAACATCTGTAACTTCTGTCCATCTGCACTGCCTGCCAGCCTGTTGCCTGTTTTTCAGAATGGGAGGGGAGAAAGGGAGGAGAAGGAACTCATTGTAGGGGTTCCCTACCTTGGGGAGGGGTGGGAGAGGGAGGGAGCACCAATACACCTTCCCCACCCTCAATAGCAGGCTGAAAAAACCCCAGACTGAATTCCCTCCTCTCCCTTTCCCTCCTCTCATTTTGAAAACAGCAGCAGGATGGCAGGCAGTGCAGTCAGAAGTTACAGAAAATGTTATGTTTTGAAATGTCTTCATCTGACCCCTCATGCAATGAGGGTTCAGATTTTCACCTGATTGGCCATTTTTGAAGCAGTCTGAAGCCATACACTTGTGTTTGGTCACAGCTATAGACAGGTTTGTGGCCAGATTGGGAAAAAATTGTCACTTCTGTCTGTGCCCCACAGATCATGCAAGAAATCTAATAAACAATGTGAATGGGGGAAGCTTGATAATTCAGCAATAGGATGCAGAACTTTCCATCTGTAATCACTCATAGGTTTGCCTGCAGTCTGAGTTAGTATCATGGGGTCATTGTAGTTGTTTAGGGTCCTTTGGAGAAATGACTTGAGCTATCTATGTCTCATCCTCGTGGATGAGAATTTACACTACAAAGACAAATAAAGTAAGCAACACAAAACAACACATGTTAGCAGTCTCCATAGAAAGTCCAAGCGTTTCCATGTGGACAGATGCTAAACCAGCTTGTTACTCCGGGAATTTGTTCTCTATGGGCACCTATACGTGCGCTGGATGTCTGCTCTGATGTACGCTAAGTAGTATGCATCAGAGCAGACTAGCACGCTCCAGCAGCCTCTGCATCATGTGTATTTAGTGTCCCTGTGTTTCAAAATGGT